TTTGGATTCTCCATTTTAAAATCTTCCTTTTTATGAATAAGATAGCTGTAGATTATCTGCCCTTTAAGTTATCCTTAGACAAGGCATGTTTGGTAGATAGTTTTTTAAACTAAGCGTGTTCTATGTCTCATGAAAAATAAGTTTTCTGTGCTGAAGGCAGGCTTAGGTACCATTTTCCTCTGTCACCCTCTTCAAAAGCTTTGTCTTGTGTCTTCAACCATCCTTTTCATTTCAGAGTATTTCAGAGATATATATCCATTAAAGTCAGGATAATATTTTGTTCCCAAATCCCAGAACTTCTTTTACTGCCAGCATGAAAAACAATAATGTCACTACTTTCGAGGAGTGTTTTTTCTCTCTTATGTGCTAGCCATGACCAATCTTAATATGAGAAAAAAAGAAGAAATCTCCTAGAAATATATTTCCAGTGACTCAGTTCTGAATCTCAAAATCTGTTAAGGGAGAAATGACTCTTTTGTGTAATAGAGGAGAAGTATTTCCCTTAGTAGAAATTCTGGATTTGGAGAAAATGTGCTATTTGCCACTAATGGGACTTTGGATGACTTTCTCCCTGTGTTTTCCTGGGGAAAAATAATTTATTGTCTGAATATCATTTGTGATTATATTGGTTTTCTATTCCAGTTAAAATCCATTTCAGTGAGGAAAAAAAATGTATATGTAATATGTTATAACTGTAAGAAGAGAGCTACTGTCTTCTCTAATAATGACAATAATGTCCAAGGTGATTCAACCAATGAGCCTGTAATTCTGTAACAAAGCAAGATTCTGCTGTCTGAGCTCTAGAAATAATCAGAAATATGTTCATGCTGATGTCTAAACTGAATTATTGTCAAGTTCAGAGTCTTTGAAAGTCAAAATCTCCAGGCTTTAAGCCCAGAAGAAAAACTACATTATTGTAAGAGCTCCTGGATTTCTTCTAATATCCATTTAACAGTAGCAAATAGCTCAGAAGGCTGTAGATATTGTTTCTCTAATGCTGCCTCTGGATGCATTACAGAAATTTAATGAGTAGTAGAGACTATATTAGCACAAGCCTTTCCGAACAGAAAGATTATACTTGCTTCCCTGTTGTTTCATGGGTTGGTTTTCTCTAATGTTTAGAGATTAGAATATCTTATTTCAATGTCTAATTTGTAAACAAACAAGTATTGCTTTAAGCCACCCCTTAGAACAATTCAGAAAGACATCCAGCTGTTCATATATTTGCAGAAATGTTGGAAGTAGCGTCACAGAAAATCTGAGGATGAGCTGTCTTAACTTTCTGAAATGAATTGACCCAGAAAATTGTTCACTGGATGAAGTATCATAGGAAGTTCTTTAAAAATGGACTCACATTATTACATTATTCTTTTAAGCTTCGTTTGGAGCAACCCAACCCTTAATCCTTTGAGGACATCGATGCTGGATGAATTGTGTCATAATGTTCTTCACCATTCAGCACGGACATTTGGGACACTTCAGCACCTTCATGTTTAACATTGCTATTATTTAGCAAATATAGAGAGGCAGTTAAAACAATTCATGTGTGAGATGTTGTGGTAAATTGACCCTGGCCACAATTAAGCTTCTCACTCACTCACAACCCTCACTGAGCAGAATGAGGGAGAAAATTGGAAGAGCAAAAAAGACCCCAACAACTTGTGGGTCAAGGTAAATAAAGTTTAAAAAGTAAAATAGTGGAAAAATAAACAAGTGATGCAGAGGTAGTCACTCAGTACCTCCCACGAGCAGGCCATTGTTCAGCCAGTCTCTAAGCTCTGGCTACTTTGAAAAGTCTACTTCCCAGTTTATTGCTCAGCATCACATTGCGTGCCATTTGCCTTTGCTGAATTCTGATTAGCTGCCCTGACTTTGTCTTAAAACGTTGTTTGCTGTTAATTAAAATATACTGGGCTGAAGTTTAGAAATATTTACATAATATCTCTAGAGAGATTGATTTTGTCTTTAATGTGTAATATAATATCACATGATTTATTGTTGAAGTTTTTCACTTTAGACTTTGTTTAATTTCAGGAGTTGTCAACAGCTAATGAACGAAATCTAAGGATCTGAGGATCTGTCCTATGGAGGTAAGTAAAGCTGCAAGAACTAGCTTTCTGAAATAAGATTGGTTATTTACATACACTGTTAAGATGAGCTCCAAGCTAGCCTATGTTCAGTTTACAAAATAGTGTATCCAATATGCAATTACATATCCTTGTAAAATTCAGTGTACAGGGGCAGGATATAGAAAGACAGAAGGAATCTGATGAAGGTTTTGAGCTTATAGCTTGCCAGAGATCGACGACCTGTTAAAAATAAGAGTTGTTATGATTAGAATAGATGATGTATAAGCAAAAGGTGCTTTACATAAATGACAGCTGAACAAACCTACAAAACAATGTTTTTTTTAACTGAGATACAGGAATGTCTTTCATGTCTACATATCACAGTCACAAAGTTTGTAAGCAGACCTCTGTAGGAGACTATGAGTCGTCTGTGCCTGCACTGAATCAAATCAATCACTTTTTATGATTTCATTTATTATTCAAAAATATCTGTGTCTGATAAAGTGTGATTAAAAGAGTTCTACTTGAGGATGTGCAGTGAAAAGTTAGATGGTAATTTTTCAAAAGTTAGTTTTCTCCTGGATTATATATGATTCTACTTCTTCTCAGTGTCAGTGAATACCTTGCTCTAGAAGGTTGCTTGTTACTGGACTGCCTTTTATTAACACGTTGGCTTTCACAAGTGCTCCAAGCTGTGCAGCAAGTCTGAATAAGCAAAATGGCTGATCTTTTTATTCAGCTTCTTACTTCTGTGTAATATGAGTCTTGATATAAAACACAATTAAGTTGTGGGGGATTTTCCGATTCAGACGATCTGTTTTGAATCTCATAATCTAGTTGTTCCAAAAAAAAGTTTGAAACTGACAGCTCTTAAGCTCTGAGTGTGGAAATCACTGTTGCCTCTGCCCAGTTATGGTGCCTGCATTTTGTTCATCTGCATGAAAGGAATCTGCGTCTGTCCTCTTCTGACACCCTTATGCTAAGCAAGAGCTGATCAGCAGTTCTGTAGTTCACCATCTGCTCTGAGCGGTCTGTAGGGCCCAGCAGCTGTCTGGTGATGGTGACAAGGTAGATGTCTTCTTTTTTTCATGTGACCCTGTATGGCTGTGGCTGTATCCATCACTGTAACTGACTTCTGCCTTGCACGGTCTTTCTGTGACCCAACATGAAACGGCTTACCTGGGGGTTCTAGAAGTGCTGGAAACGGATATAGGAGACAGAATAACTCAGAAATTATTACAATTCATCATTAGATTGGCAAGTTAGAAGTGTGCATTTATAAGCAAAACTTTGTAACAAATGTAATTCTTAGAAGACTGCACTTTGAAGAAATAGGCTGAAAAAGCCATCTAAAGGCTGAACATACTTTATTTTTATGGGCATGTTTATGAGAATTGCTAAGGAAGCTGATTTTCCTTTTAAAGCTAAAAATAATACAATATACTGGTGGTTAATTGTAAACTAACTGATGAATTCAGCCTTGGGCCATAGTTCACAGTTCAAGAAACTGTTGAACTTACTACGTTAGTAACTTTATTACTGTCTATCCAGTTGAGATCAGCAGCTGCTTTTAGGAATTCATTTGCTGAGAGGCCTGAAAATTATGTGGAGAAGATGAAAGTTGTAATGGAGAGAATATCCACTTTTAAATGCTCCTGTAACTTTACTTGTCATAGTCCTTCACCACTAGAGGACAGTAAGACCTCAAGATAATGGGGATGCATGAGGTGGTGGAAGAAGGGAAATTGCTAAAACAGCTATGAAATCATTAGTTCAAAAGCTACACTCTTCTAGCTATAATAAAGCTTCTTAAAGAATTGTAACAGTTTGGGAAATGTTTGGAGTCGCCATCATCAGCTATGCATTTTTACCAGTGATGAACAAGAGCTTGTGCCAGCCACTGTCACTGTTCCCACTGCTGAAATGCATCACCTGCCACCTCATTGTGCTCACATTCAGTTTGGCCTCCAGAAAGATTCAGCAAGAGTCGATGAATGTCAGTGGGGGCAGTTGTTTCTGCATGAGGAATTCAATTCCATGCCTTTTCTTCTTACACACTTCCATGTCAGACATTCTGCCAGACTGCTGCTCTGCTGCCATCTGTCACACAGCAACAACATGCAATGGAATATTGGTGGGAAGGTTCAACCTCTACTGCCATACCGCCAACATCTGCCTCTGATGTTGTGTGTCAACATAATAAAATAGGAGGCATTACTTACAGAACAGCCCTTATATGTAACATATTTAATGTGTATAAGTAACAAAGCTTGTTTTAGTTTTTAATATTTTTATTAAAACATTTTTTTTAAAGGGAGAGCAATAAAAATATAAAACTACATATTTGACCTTGTTTTTGTGACAGTAATGTGTCAGTCTGATTTGATGGCAGTGGCTGCAATTCTCAGTGAGTTCTTAAGGTGTTTGTCAGAGATTTTTGATGGCACTTTTCCTGTGCTTCATCTTTGAATACAGTCATTCATAAATGTGCCTAGAACTAAAAAGCGATGACATGAATGAGGCATGATTGTGAAGTGAGGAGTGCTTCTCTCTGACCAGATGGGGTTTGTGAAGGACTGGTAAAGAGACACAATCTGATTTCTCTTTGAGTTGAATGTCTGATTGCACCTCTATACATTCCATTTGAAATTTTGTAGGCCATGTATTTATGTCAGATGAAAATGGAGTCACAAATTGAAAAATTTCAAGTGATGCAAAATATACCACAATTGTAACATAGTTCTGATGCATTTTAGTTCCTGTTTACCAGAACAGAGTCCAGATGTATCATTAGTTCCTGTGCAGGTATAACTAGTAAATTAAAAGCAAATATGGACAAAGTGATGAAAAAGAAAAACGTATTCACAAGTTTGGACTGTTACATGCTGTATGGGAACTGCTGAATCACAGCCTGAGCCTCTGATTGACCACCTGAGGCGAGCACTGAGTCAGCCATGGAGCACAGGTGAAGGCAATTCAGCTGTGTGATGGAAGGGCTGGAGCCTGGCTGCACCTCTCCTTGGTCCATTTAAGAGCAGACTGCCAGTGGGGAAGGATCTCTTTCTGGAGATCCCTCCTTTGGAGTTTTACAGTGAGCTTGGGATAAGGGTAAGCACTCTTATTTATTCTCTTTTTGGTGTAATAGTTGCTTAGCCAAACTCTGGTGTATTTCATAATTATAACATCTGTCTATTCATTTTTTTTATATGCATGCACAGAAACACCCTGATGTATTAAACTTGCAAAAGTTCTTTTTGGAATGCTTAAAATAACCTGTGCAAAGTTTCTTTTTTTCTCAGTTTAGTCAAGATGATATTAAAGCTCCACAAGAGGTTTCTGGGTTCAAACCAAAGCTTGTACTGTCAAGTTGAAGACGCTGCTTTAGTAGAGGATTATGCTTTCTTTAGAAAACTCATGATGTGATCTGCGTAATTGAAATAATCTTAATAATCTTACTTTCTCTTTTTGAAGCTTTTTTTAGAGATAATTTTTTACTTGTGCTTTTAAAGAGAAGTTTTTTCTGTTTATATCTTCTATGATATTCAGTGATATTTCTAGTGATTCTTGATATTTTCACAAAAAGTTCTAGAGCTCTTCACAAGCAGTGTTCATTTTTTTTTTCTTACTTGTTGTGAAACATTTGATCATATCTTAAGGAACGCATACATTAGTCAAATGTTCTTTACAAATAACTTCTTCTTTTGAATATAATCCATATAACTGTATGAACAGATGGTTAAGAAATGTAATGTGGTACCATGTTTTTCCACAACATATATTTTTTTGAGTCAGAATGTGACTAAGAAAAATGGACTTAGAGTTATGGTCTTAATTTGGACTACTCTAACAGGTTTGGCTTTTTGTTTTAGAAGAGAAACTGTCATCCTGGGAACTTACAGAGTAGGAATACCTTTCTGGTTACAGACACTTAAATATGAGATGTCACTTCTGGTAGTGTTTGGGTTTGGTTCTTTTCTCACAATCTGAAGCTAATTAGAATCTGCAGGAATTACTCCTGATTGCCAGCACTGCCAGCTGTAGCAACTTTATGGAAAAATCATAGAATATATTAATTAATTTTACCTGTACTGTGTACACAGATGTATTGGTAATACTTGTACTAAATACAAATGGAGAAAAACAAAAGTGCTACAGAAAAAAAATATTCAATTCAGAATGTATTATCTCAGGACCAAGTTCCCAGAAAAATAGCTCAAATCCAAACCTAACATCATCTTACAACTCTTTATGACTTTTTTTTTTATCCAGTATCACCCAGTGTAGAGATGTCAGCAAACATCTCTTGGCTACATCTAAAGTTCCGCCATCTTCCTAAAATATTCTGAGCAAATTCCTTGTTTCAACTTCAAGTCTGGGTAATGTATGCTATTTAATGATTCTTGCCTGAAGAATAATAGCAAAGTAAAGAGGAAGTGACTGAAGAAAAGGGGGAAACTAAATAGCATATGACCACATGCTCTTCCTCCCTCCTTCATCAAAAGCAAAGACAACAGTTAAAATAGCCATTGATCAAGATTTGGAAGATAAGATTCTGCAATCTGAGTAGTGTACGTTAACCTGCAGACTATAACATACAGAAATAAGAATGAATGGTCTGTTCAGTTTTGTGGTTATGAGTCTAAAAAGAATTGGGTATTAAGAAAAAAATTCTTCAGGACGCTGAATATCTGTTTGGTTTCTCCTTTACACATTTAGGTTTTTTTTCTCACTCTCTTCTGCCAGCATTGCTGTGTACTACTCAGCTTCACAATCCAGCTGGAGTGATTTAGCTGGTGTGTATAGTAATAATATTTCTCATTTTCTACTTCTAAGTAATCAAAATAAAGAAATCTAAGTACACATTAGATATAGATCCATTTTCATATTGGCTCAAACAAAGTGCAAGACCAATTCAATCATGTACTAAGAATGCTGGTGGAGTTAGATTTTTAAGTCACCTAGAAGCTTGTTAACGTTGTACCTGACACTTAATTATTGCAATCCAAATAGAAAGTAAGGTTTTGCTTTATTATGCTATGGCTCAGAGTGTAACTCTGAATGAATCAGCCTCCAGGCAGTAACAGCAAAGTATGTTTCTGAGAGAAGCAAGCACAGCTGTTTAACCATATGGAAGTATAACTGCAGGAAGCTCTGTTAATACCCACTTCTCACCTCCTCACATACATCCAAATGTGTTGTCTTGGTGCAGGCTCTGTCTCTCTTTGCTTCCCTTCAGCCCGCTACTCTTACAATTCCTCTGTCCCCTGTTGTTCCAAGAGCTCTAGCTGACAAGCACTGAGCCAAATATACTAAGTTTTGCACAGCTTAATCTAGATGAACAGTAAATGTCTCTGATAACCAAATATATGCATATCACTTATAGGAATAATCAGTTTCATGTCCTTTCCACACAGTTAGAATCTTGCAAGCTGACTATATTGGTTTTCTGAGCAAGTATATTGCTTTTTCAGTCACTTGTTTTGTATAGCTTTATGCATCTATATTTGATGCTTCTGTCAGAAGTTTTCTGTAACAGTACTTACAAGGAAGATAGATGAGACTCAAAGCACAGAGTCCCATGCTTTGAAGAACTAGATCATAAATTACACACATGACAGCCAATGAACAGCAAACCTATAAGAGCAATTAAACAGCTAGATCAGTAGCAGAAGCATGAACATGCCTATAGCAATTATCCCTATCTGGTAAACTTACCAATTGGTTTCAAGTCAATAAAGAAATAGTTTATATATCACTTACCAGGGCCTATTATTTTATCTGTTGCATTTTCCACAGATATTAGTAAGTTTCCCATTTGTTAGGGAAGAATTAGATATTTTTTAGCATGTTCTTTATTTCTTTCTACATCTGTTTTTCACAAGTTTTATTTTAAATAACTGACAGAAGAGAAGTTCAGTTCTTCTCATACAGTGACAACAGAAGTGTCCTATAAGAACAAGGCACTCAAACACTTAGTGAATGAAAATTTCCTCAGGTGTGGCTAATTAAATAGAAAGCTCCTTGAGCATCATCAAAATTCACATGACCACACAGAAACACAAAATCAGGACTCACTACCAAGCACACAGACATTACCCAATCACCACCAAACAAAATGCATGCTTGGTTCTGTTGCTCATTCCATGTGGGCTTCAGGCACTGCATCCCATCTGTGCACTCCTCATTTGTCTGTGAGCTGTGTACTTGGGCTGGTACTCTGCTTTTGCACCCTTCTGAAAATGCCTGCTGCTTAAGGAGGCACTTCATGTAACGTGCCCATACCCATGCTCAGAAAAGCAGACCACACAACTTAAACGTCATTCTGTGCTGTAGGCTGACTGATATATTTTTCTTTGAAAAGATGAATCCAAACAAATCAGCATCCTTTCCAGGGTAGCAAGTTACTGTGTTGAACCCACACCCTGAACTGTAGTGGGAAGAAGACAGGCCCAGATTCATTTTTTTAGCACATCTTGGCATAGGACACAACTAAGCACCTGAATGCCATTACAAAAAGATAGTGCTGTGTTGCCAATCTAGGGAATTTAGAGAGATTTGTTTCTGAACCCAAGCACATTTAGACAGTTTGTCATTTAGTAGAGATGAATTCTCAGAGTCCTGGAGAAAATGAGAGAATGGAAGGAGCCCCATCATGACTCCCTAAATTGCAGGTGCCCGTTTGTGCCCATTTCATTTTCAATCCATTTTGGTTTTATGAGGGAAAACAGACGTGGCTACCTGAGTTTGTGACACAAACCGGGTCCTTAACCTAGAAAAAACAATTAGTTTCTTTCATCTGTGTACACAATTCAAGAGTAGCAGGAAGAGCAGAGGTTGTCATTACTTTCGATTTCTCTTCCATGCAGATTAGTTTTCAAAGACAACTCTGAATGTTTCCAATAGCCTTGGGCTTTAGCAGATGCATGAGAAAGAAGTGACAGGCGGGAGGGAGGGAGAACAAAGTAGTATCTTGAATGTTTCCTTCACTGTTAGATATAGCCAGTATTTATTCCAACATAATACCTAATCTGAAGTCATGTCAATGGAAAGGCTTCACCAGAGATTGCAACAAATTTTTTACTCAATAAAGGTCATTCAGTTGGTGCTGTACATCATTTGTGAACATAACCCCAGCTCTGACATTTAACAATTTAAAGCTGGGTAGGTTTACTGTTTCCACAACTAATTTCATAGTCAAACAGAATGCTAGTAAAATTGTTTTGAGGAGGCAGTGTGAAATGTTTCTTCTGATTTAAGTGCATTATGTTTTTGACAGGCCTGAGCTATACATTTTGTGGCTTTACTTACTTTATTCTTAAAGTGGCAGTTTGTGCTTATACTTACATGGGGTAAGTGTTTCATAGTATATTTTGCCTTTGAAATCAATATAAAAGTTTTTTAAAACAAGTGAAATGGAGAAAAGACTTTGCTTTGTTTTTGTTAGAAACTGCTCTGGGGAGTTAGATGTCATTGTAGCTTTCTTTCTTTGTGCAGAGCAGAAGCTTTATAAAAGACGTTCGGGTCTTGTGGCTGCAAAGACAACTTTCTGATGTATTTAATGTATGCATTTTTTTTCTGCCTTTCCCCAGTGATTTGTAGCACCTGTGCTCTGCTTCCTACCATAGAGACATTAAGAGGTACTGTAGTCTTTCAGCTGACTGAAGATCCTTTGATCCATGTTGACCCCCAGCCAGAAACATCTCTCCCATCTTTCCCCCCTTCCATTATCATATATGGTATCTCCTTATGCAGCACCACTGTTGTCGTTATTGTTTAAAAAAAAAAAAAAAAGACTGAATTAGGTGCTAAGTGAGCACTCAGACTTGTGCTGTGAAGCTGTACCTAAGGGAGTGTAGAAAAACACCTGTCTGGTTGTCTTACTATTTGGCATGCTTTGAAAGACATTGAAAGGTGGGAATGGGATGGAAATGAAGACTGAGAGGCAGAGAAAATGAGTTTGTGGAAGGAAGAGGAGAGCACAACAAACAGCTTCTCGGAAATGAAGTAACAATTACCCAGTGA